GGGGCCCCGCCGCCCGCCGGCCGGGCGGGGTTGCCCCGGCTCCCGAGGGACGGGGCCTTTATCCCCTGCCGCTGCCCGTGCTTCGGGGGTAGGCAGCGAGCCGCCCCGCCGGCCGGAGTCCCTTCTCCCGCCTCCCCGGCGGGGTCCCTGTCCGCGTGGTGATCCTCCCGGCGCTGCTGGGGCCTCGCTGGCTCCCCGCTCGCCCGCGGGAGCCCCGTCTCCCCCTCTCCCGTCCCTTCCCCGGCACAATGCAAATGCAGAGGAGGGTTCCTCTTCATTCAGGGCGTCATTGATGACTTCTTGGGGCAGAGCAGCGAAACGCCTTCCTTGTGTTGGAAGGCTTGAGGTGTTTTTTCACCCACTACAGATTTTCAGGTGTTCCAGCCTTTAAAGGTCCCACCTGACCCGTTGGAGAAGGCACTTGACTAACTTCCCAGTCGTTGAACTGGATGAATAGCTGCCGGAGACTCATACAGGAGATCTGTCAAGACATGAACTTCACCGAGTTCGGAGCTGGCTTATTAGTTAAAAGTATCAGATTAATTATTTGAAAATAGAACTCAAAGTAGCGTAGTGATGAGTCTCTTCCTGGCCTCTGCTAAAGATAAAGGTGTCTTCCTAGAAGCGCACGTGCTGTACGTGCTGATTTGAGTCTGTTCTGAGTCAGTAGTTCAGTCAAATGGTTCCAACAGTGAACTAGCGTACGTGGAAATTCACAGACCTCAGACTGATGCAAAATCAAATGTCCTCTTGATTTGCCTCATCATGGTACAGGCGCTTCAGCTAAACGGGCTGCTGCTGGACCCCGTTGTATTGTTTAGGTGGTGTGGCTTTAAAGCTTTTTGTCTATGTGTATTTGTTTGATGCACTGTTTTGATGAATTTTCTGTAAGCTTGAAAACCCACTGAAATTTTAAGAGTACTCTTAAAATGGACTGTGGAAATTTTTTCTTAATATTTTGATAGTTAACTTGTATTTGCATCTTGTTCTTTAGACACAGCACTATGAACCAAGAAAAACTGGCCAAGCTTCAAGCGCAGGTCCGAATAGGAGGAAAGGTAAGAAAACCATCAGAGAAGCGCTGCTTCCTGTAATTTACAGGTTGAAGAAGAAACATCTCTGAAATTTGTTTTTTAAAACACAGGCTTTAGTTCATGGGTGGGAGGGGGGAAAAAAAAAGTTCGAGGCCCGAAAAATATGGGCTTTGTGCGACCTGGATTGTAGTACTGCTACCTGAAATACAAGTTTCTTTCAGTTCACAACTGCTGGGTGAGTAGTTTCCACAGTGTGTAAGCTTTCTTTTTATTTCAGTGACTTGTCGCGGCCTGTGAAAGCTCAAGCTAAGCTTACCTGTTGATTGTCCCAGTCCTGCCTTTTTCTTCTCCCTGTTGGGGAGTTCCTTCCTTTGTGCCAGCTCCAGGGCTTATCTGACTCTGCACTGAGCTGTTTCTTTTCTCTGAGCCAGCAGGTAGCTAATGTGACAAAAAAAAAAGCATATAATTTGTTCAGTGTGGGTGTTCATTGTCTAACTGTAGGCAGAGTTGTACAAAAGTTTGCAGAGTAGGAATTCCAAAATTGCTGTCTGTGGAACAGTTTAAAAATGTTAATTACTTGGTTACGGAAGTGTGACCTTTTAAAATCACTGTATTTGTGCTTCATCTTGGAAAAAATAAAGTTATTGGGGAAACACTTTATATATCGCTTAATAGTAAATAGTATTTTTATAATCTAGCTTGTGGGAAGGGAAAAATACTTCTGCTCTTTGGTGTCTTTTTGGTCTGTTACACTTAAGAAAAACCTTGAAATTGAGACTAACAGTTAAAGCTGTAGGTGAAGGGGAAGTAAGTTGAAAAGCATTTTTGACTACAGAGCTTTCTCATAGTGTACAGATAGGTCGCTCAGAGTGCGATATGACTTCCAAAAATTAAGTGTTGTGAGATTTTGAGAATAGCTGACTGTTGTGTTTTGATTCTTTTCAAGGGAACAGCTCGCAGAAAGAAGAAGGTGGTGCACAGAACAGCTACAGCTGATGACAAAAAACTTCAGAGTTCCCTCAAAAAACTGGCAGTAAATAACATTGCTGGCATTGAAGAGGTATAGTGATAAAATAAGTGTTTCCTGTTAGAAATGAAGTTCACTGTGGTGTTTGTTTTTTTTTTTTTTTTAACAACAGTTTTCTCTTCCTCTCAAAAACTTACAGGTCTGGTTACTGATAGGTAAAGCTGTTTGATTGTTGTCTCATTTACATCAATGCATGCATACCTAGACAAAGAAGGGAGAAGGTTCTGCTGGCCAGATGGTGATTGTAGATGCTAGTAAGCTGTCGCGTACGTGTCTTGCATTCATTGCAAACTTCTCTTGATTCTTGACTTCATGAACTTGATGACCTGCTTTAAAGAGAAGAGCAGTAAATGCATGTGTACTCTGCAGGCACATCTGAAGCAAGAGTTGTGTGGTGTAGAATATAAAGAAAACCATAAAAATACCTGGAGTAAGAACTTGCAAGTCTGTATTATCAAAATTAGGTCCTTTTACTGCATGGAAATTACCAGAATTGTTTGTGGTAGTCACAGGAGATGACATTTCTTACAACACAGCAAAGACTTTACAGAACCAACCTCTGTGTTAATGTGGTAGGAATGTAAAGGTTTCAGATATATTCCTTGAATATGTCTATATGTGTAAAATAGGAACTGAAACACTGACATTTTCCATAACACTGTAGAGAGTGACACTCATATGTGGGAGGAGGAGGTGTTCCTTCATCATGAACTCGATATTACTGTAGTACTTGGATAAAGAAGCATAATATTTAATTAATTTAAGCAGGATTGCAAGGTGCCTCCAGAGGTCACCTCTCCTCCAAAGGCAAATACAGATTCAGTGTAGAAGCCTGGTTTGCCTGTAAGTGTTCATACCTCTGCTACAGAAACAATTCCATTTGTCTGTATACTTAAGCTTGATATGTATATGCTGAGCTATGGGAACCCAAAGAAAGACACAGTTCTTGTTCTGTTTTTGTTTTTTGGGGATTTTTTTGTTTAGTTTTTTTCCCCACAGAGCACAAGACCTTTGTTCAGACACAGTTATTAAGGATTTTAAATGTCTTGATGTGAAGGAAGGTAATACAGTATGCTTCTACCTTGATAGCTAGGTACGTAATTACAGTATGTTGTTGTATTCCAGTGGACACAAGTTGACCTTGGTAAACTTTGTGTAGATAGAAGAGTTTGGGGAGGCTAGTAATGTTGAGTCAAATGTTAGTAGCTCATCTGTGTGGTTTTACTTAAAAGCCTCTTTTAAAGAGGATGACAGTGCTTGAAGCCTTTACCATTTCCCCATGTGTAAGGGATAGGACATCCTTTAGTTTTGCAGGGGAGCAACACACCTGGTTTTCCTGTTAAAAACATATTTTGAACTCTGCTGCTGTGTGAAGATGAATAACTTACATGTTTGTATGTTTTAGATCTTTAGTTCTCAAATGTCTGTTTTCTCCCTGTAACTTCTACTAAAAACAATACCTACAAGTTTTGTGACTTAAGTTTATTACTACTGTTTGGTTCAATGGGTAGAACTCTCTATTTTTTATTTTTATGGTTATTTTCTACTTAACCATAACTTAGCCATGAAGAAAAACCTTTAGCCAGAAGAAAAACCTTTTTAACTTTCCATTCTGTCTCCCTTTAAGTTAAAAAATGTAAAATAAACACCATACAAATATGCCAGTATAAACTTTGACAATAGGAGCAAAGCAGGCTGCTATATTGGCTGTACAACTTAATTCTTGGTGATTCAGAAGACCAGGGAAGAGGAAGAGAGCAGGATCACTGTATGATGTACTTGGTCTTAAAGAGTCATCATGGAATTTAGGAAGGCATAGAAGCCTGGTCTAGTGCAGTTGGTACATAAACCTCCAGTTCTGTGTGTATATGTGCAGGAAGCATCCTTGCCTTGGGCAGCTTCAGCAAGGAATCCAGATTGTGAATCTTGTGCCTTTGCCAGTTCTGCTGCAGAAACAATAATGTTTTCCTGATAGGTGACACAGGTGTGAATGGCGATGTCTTAAACTGATGTGGCAAGGCTTTTCTGTTAAAGTTTCCAGTTTGTAAAGAGTTATCACAGAGCTGAAGGTTTTGTGTGTTTTTTTTTTTTCCCAGACGTTCCTGATATTAACTCATTTATGTCTTATAACCTATGTATGTTTTTTGCCTTTGTTAAAAATATACATGAACTGTATGATAACATATAACCCTTGCATATTTATTACTTAGTATTTAGATAAGAGCTATGGTTCCTTCATAAAAATACACTTAAATTCTGCCTTTTCATATAGTATGTATGAACACATATTTTATCATTAACTCATATTTTACTTCCAGTTTAGGTGGTGTTAATTCCAGATGCTTTTATCATGGTTTTATTATTCTCTAGGAGGAGTACTAGTTTTGTGATTTATTTTTTTAATATATATTTTTAAGTCTAGATTTGAATTAATAACTTATTATGCTTGTTCAACAAGATGCCGCAACACTTTGGTTAATGTTATTAATATATTTAAACAGGTGAACATGATAAAAGATGATGGAACAGTTATTCACTTCAACAACCCCAAGGTTCAAGCTTCCCTCTCTGCTAACACTTTTGCCATTACTGGTCATGCAGAGGCTAAACCGATCACAGAAATGCTTCCAGGCATCTTAAGCCAGCTTGGTGCTGACAGCTTAACAAGTCTCAGGAAGTTAGCTGAACAATTCCCAAGGCAAGGTAGGTCTTTCGGAATCTTTCATCAACATATGAAGTATCAAAAGTTTTAACCCAAATGTAACAGCAGCATGTGTGACTTAAAAAGTGATCAAAAGCAGATGTGCTTTTATTTATTTGCCATTCTTGTGGAAATATAGGGGGGGAAGATTTTTTTTTCTTGTTGATTCAAGATTTTATATAGGCAGGCCTTGATTTAAAGGAAAAAAAAAAATCTGGCGAGTCAGGCATGCTGTGATTCCAGGTGTACAATTGTGTGTGACAAAATACTTAGGAAAGCAAGTTCAAGTTTTTACTGGGAGAAACTCAACAGTTCTTTCTGTCAGGGAATCAATTCTGTTTTCTTTGTTCATACAAAACATATTTCTATTGTGGATATAGAGAAGAAACATGTTCTTTCTATTCTATATTTCCATTTGGAATTAAACCAAGACTTTAATTCAAAATCAAAGGTTTGATTCAAAATAAATAATCAAAGTTTTTAATGTGATTCTTTATTTTTCTACTCATTTTAAAACCATGGGAGCATAGTGTGTGTGTATATATGTGGTATAACTATTACTGTAATTTTACAGTGAAGAAATGGGGGTTTGGGGACAATCCTTTTTAGAATAATACCCTCTTTGGGGAAGCACTGTAGCATATTTTGTAGAGGTCTCAACTATTCTCCCTAAGCAGGTTTGTAATTTAAGAATAGATGGAAATTTATTCTTCCAGTGGTGTATCTTACGAAATTAGAACAAGAGAGTACTTTAAAGCATGCAAGTAATCAGTCTGTTGACTTTGATAAGAATTTGTAAAAGCTTTCTTAAACTGCAGAACAGGTACACTTCTCATTACAAGTAGCTGTATCAGAGTTCATGTTTCATGTTGTGTATTGCCAAAAACTAGTTCTTAATATCAAGCCCCAGTGAAGTTGGACATGAAAAAAATTTTAGTTTTCGTATTTATACTGTTTATACTGTTATGGCCATTAAAAAGACTGTAATTGGATGTGTTGCATGTCTGTATTTGGAATTGGAAAATAGGTTACCTGTTCTAATATTTTCAACAAATACTTATTCCTTCTAAATCAATTTAATTTCTTCTATATTTCACTTTCAGGGTTTATTTTTCCTTCTTTACTAATATTAACATTTAAAATATGTTTTAAAATTTAGAAAATGGATCATCATAAGCATATTTCTTTGATACAACCTCAGTACCAATAGATACTACGCTTTCTTTAGATAGATCAATGAGAAGTACTTTTATTTTTTAAGTTCTTGCATTTCTCTATATTGTAGCATGTTCCAATTTCCATGACTTACAGAATACTAGGTTTGATGCAGGAGCCTGGATATGGAAATACTTTTTCCTGCAGTAGTGGCCCTTTTGATAATTAAATCATATGATGTGTTGGTCCCTGACTGGTACCACATTATTGTTGCATTGAAACACATGGCTTCAGTTAGAAGGCATGCTGATTTCTTCTGTATCGTTTGATCTTTTGCTAGCTCTGCCTTAATACCCCTAAGCATTTGAAAATGGCTGTGCTAATACTTTGGTATAAGAATGTTCACAGATAGACCTTCTGGTCATGCTGATCACTGTTGATACCCAGTCATTTCTGTGTTGTCACTATTGGGGGTTGGGGAAGTACGTTCTTTTTTTCATCTGTATTTTTTATTTTGTTGTGTGATTTGTCCCTAATTCTGTGTAATGAGAACTCGGCACCAAATTTCTTTTTATAGTGTTGGATAGTAAAGCACCAAAATCTGAAGATATTGATGAAGAAGATGATGATGTCCCAGGTAGGCACATACATACTTATATGTCCATTTAATATATAAATATTTCAACTCATGCGTTCAAATATTTAGCTCTTGATGTGATAATGCTTCTCACTTGCTAAGGAATGCTTCCTATACTGGGCAGCATTAAATCATTTGGACTTTGGATTCCAGCTTTTGAAAAAAGGTTTACCTTGTGCAAATTACTTAATTAATTCTTAAGTGAAAATAGGTTAAAATGCTTTCAGGGAGGTTGAACAGGTGATCTGAATAGCCAAATAGGCTTTTAGGGCTGCAAAGTGATGTGATTGGGGTGGGGATTTTTACTTCTGTAGTAGAAGAAACAAAGCTTATGTCCATGTCTGAAAGTTTTTCTGAATAAGTTCTTAATTTGCCAATGAATAACTATCTACCGGTCACCACATTCTTCTATATCCATTAGTATGGTGTATTAGCTAAAACAACAAACTGGTAGACTCAGAGGTTCAATTGCTCATGCTTTGGTGCTGGTTTATTTCTTTGTGATCTTGCATAAAAATTCAGTTCTCTAAAATTGCCTGTTTCCTGAAGTACAACAGTTAATGGGTGCCTGACTTCAGGCATTCTTTAAAGAATGCTGATGGCTCAAGACTCAACTGCAGCTAGTAGAGCACCTCTGAAAATCAGATCTTAATCACTTTATGTTAGAACTTCCACTTTCTGAGTGTTCCTGCATTTCTAGTTCTTTGTGTATGTTCAAACAAACCCTGTTTTCTAAAGCCCTTTGAAATCTGCCCATAAAAATGATGTACATAGGCAGTAGTTCTTAACTATACTTATAATATATGCATTTTCATTAAACTTATGAAGGTAATTTTACTGGGCATTGCTGTATTAAATATCTTCATCTCTTTCAGATCTCGTAGAAAACTTTGATGAAGCATCAAAGAATGAAGCTAACTAAACCATTAATAGTTCTGGAAGCTGGCATGGACTAGATTTAAGAAATCAGCTATGTGGTTCCAAAGTTTTAAAGAAACAGAGAACATCATCTGTTAATAGTTCAGTAATATAAATATTTTGTATTTTTATGATGCTGTTTGTTCAGCATTTTCTGTCAGTTGATTTTGCATTTTGCACTTACTCCCCAGGATCTACTCTTTTGGTCAGTCATGGACTAGATTTAAGAAATCAGCTATGTGGTTTCCAAGTTTTAAAGAAAAAGAGAACATCATCTGTTAATAGTTCAGTAATATAAATATTTTGTATTTTTATGATGCTGTTTGTTCAGCATTTTCTGTCAGTTGATTTTGCATTTTGCACTTACTCCCCAGGATCTACTCTTTTGGTCAAAAAGAAATGTCAGTGCAGTTTGAGGGGTGTGTGCATGTGCGTGTGTGTATGTGTGTGCGTGTACATATAGTGGAGAACAAATTGGAGAACACTTATTTAACCTTTTCCCCTTTTCCTTTGGAAGTAGAAATAAAATGAATCTTCAGCATTGTTACTTTTTGATTATCACCAAATAGTGCACAGAAGGTAGTTATGATTAAAATTTTGTCCACATCTTAGGACGTGGAGGCATTACACAATTAAAACTTGGGTTTAATTTGCTGTTAACTATTGTACTTGCAGATGTGTTTCTCATCCCTGTTGGAATATACACATGATAATTATCAACCTTATTTTGATCCCAAATGATACTGAAGACGAGCTGTTTTACTGGCTTGTTTGGTGCAGTAACTTTTTAAAAAAAGAAAATTTGGTCTCAGAAGAGTGTGCTTTTTTCAGCCTTTCTCAACTTTTTCTTTTTTCAACCTTTCTCAACTTTTTCTTTTTTTCTTGTCTCTAACTTTTTGAGACAAGCTGATGTTTGACTCCTTCCACATAGGCTTGAGCAGTATGTTCTCCTGTTGATTATGTAAAGTATTTGCCATGTCAAAAGGAAAACAAACACCTTGGTTCTCTACCATCAGGTCACTTCTTAAACTTGGAGGTCTAGTTGGTAATGGTCCAGTGCACCAGTTTCGCACACTAACAGATTTTTGCTTGAATAACTTCAAGCTGTTCTCTTGGCATGACTGCATTTACTAGCAGCTGATGATCCATTGTCATTCTTATGGCACTAGGAATTAAATGCACCGTGTGAGCAATGTTTAAGGTGGGAGGAAAGAGTTGTTGACATTTTGCCTTGCCTACTGCTGGGCAGTTTGTGCAATGACTAGCTCTAAAGGGATGGGTTTTTTTTTGCCTGTAACTTACCTTTGCCTATAACCTACCTCTAGGTTTGGTGTCATCTATGTAGTAGCTTCTTAAAAGTCACAAATGCTCCTCAGGCATAAGGAGGACATTGGGAGGTACTGTTGGTACAGTGCAGTATTTATGACCTTTCTTTAAAATGCTTAATGTGAACCTGTTTTCTCAGAGGCTCTTTCAAGGTTCTTGATGTAATGTGCATTACGGTATAGTTAGACATCATTGTAACCTGTGTCAAGGGCAGCTGTGGCTTAAGAAAGCCATTTTTTTTCCTCTACATCTGTCACTTAACTATGGCTTAATTAGAACATATCAGCTTTTTATGTAGGTTCATACGCTAGAGAACTGTAAAAGTACAAGGTAAACAGTACACGAGTTCTGGTGACATCATCATAAAACCACAAAAGCAGAGCTGTAGTGGTTTGTCATCTGAACTCCTCCATTTATTTTATAGGCTTTGTTCAGTTTTTCCTGTTATATTTTATATACTACGTGGATCTTACTACAAAATAAAGTAACAGTACAAAAGAGGAAATGCTCCCTCTTGTGTGTTGTCTCTTCCTCCCACCAGCACTGGCTGAGGAAGGACAGGTGGATGCAGCAGCTGTTTCAAACAGCACTACATCCTTGCTGACAGTGACTGAGGAGGACCCATGCAGGACTAGGCAGGATCCTGTTAGAGCTTTAGGATTTCACACTCCCGAATACCTGCTCTCTTGTTTTCCCTGCAGTGTTGAATGAAACTTTGGTTTGCTGTATGGCTAATCTTAAATCAGCTGCAGATGCATTTGGTCTGTTTATAAGGAAGAGATGTCTTCATTAATGTGTGCACAGGCACACTGAATTGCCTTTTGCTGCCCCTGCAAGCTCAAAGAGCAAATGCAGGATACTAGGAAACGGGGATTTTCAGTGTTCTTCCATTTGCTTAAGGGGCATGAGTGAAGAACGTTTCAAAGTAGCAACTGTACTGAGTTTGTGTATGGGACATCCCCTCCCCCTAAATACTAATCAGATACTGAAAATTTGTGCTGATTGGTTTCTGATGTAGGAAGTATGTCAAAAGTAATTTTGTGAGAGATTAAAAGTAAGCATTGGAAACAATGCTTCTGTCAGTTTATATAGTCGAACTTTGATTCCTACAAAACACTCATTTAATTTTTGCTCTTGGTCATGACAATTTACATGTTAAACCCTCACTTTTTCCTATGTTTGACAACCAGTAAACTAACGAAATATGCTAGCTTATGTAGTTATATTATCTTCAGTTTTTTCACTGTATCTGGAAACAGTCAACCACTTACGATTTGCTGCTGGAAATACTAGAGCTTATCAATCATTAAACTGATTTTAATTAAAAGTAACCCATCAAGGCTGTTGTGGGAAAAGCTCTTTTTCTTCGTATTTATTCATGGTATAACTCAAACAGTGTTTGTACATGCTGATGGAAACGCAAAGTTACTAAATATAGTTTTGGGGAGCGGTGATACAATAAAAACTCCCCATGTGAAGGTGAACATTAAAATGTTCTTTGCTAGGCTTGAAGCACGATAACCGCTGTACTTCTGAAGCTCTTGAGCTTACTTGCTCATTACGTAAACACTGTTGACATATTAAAGATGCTGGTTAAGATATTGACATATAAAGAACTTTGCAGTGATTTGAAAATACGAAGATAGAGCAGAAAGTAAGTTGAAACATCTCGTGGATTGTATGTGAGAGGATCAAAGCTGAATCAGCAAAGAACAAAGAATCGAGAACCTGGCAAATGTGTAAGATGGCAAACGCTAGTCTTCCTGCCCTGACTGCTAGTGGATTTGTGTAGTTCCCTAGTTTATGGATGGGAAACCTGGGTCTGGCTGGTTTCTCTCGGGCAGGAAAGCAAGGCTGCAAAAACCTGTAGTTGTGCATTTGCTCTATGAAGAAAAAAAAAAATGCTCAGTAAGATGGATGGCAGAGATTACAGCCAGCGATGGTGGAGACTTGGTACTGAGTGCCGGTAAGGGATTTCTCATGCAGCACTCGGTAACCAAGTAAGTTTGGAGCTAAGAGTGTTGGCAGGGTGGAAGGAGTTGATATAAAAACATTTAACATACAATAGAGACCTTAAGAAAAATAGGGTTCAGGTGAATTTTTTTCTTGTTAACTTTTGTTACATAGGAATAATTGAAGAGTGCACAAGAATAAGGATGAATTTAGAACTGCTACTGAAGTCTTAGTGAAATATGTTGATAATTCACTAGTATTTATCAACTTGCCATGGGAACTAGGAGTTGCTATGAACTCCCTTCTGCCAGGATCTTCACAAATAATGTTTTGGATTTGGTGTGTACAAAATGAGCACTGAAGGTCTTACAGATCATTTAATTACTGAGCAGTGTATTGATTGACCAGTGTATTGCTGTTAACAGGAAGGAACTGAGGAAGCTGTAACAGCACAGTAAATCTGTGCTATATGTACAAGATTAATTCATGCCTCTTCTGAGGAATGTCCCAGGAAGGATTCTCCTAAGTTTCCCTGGAATCAGACTGTGCTGCCCCAGACAGTAGGGATGTACAGAGGGGCTGAGCAAACTGCCCCGTAGGTGAAGGTGAGTGAGTGAATTCTTCCACTGGCCCTTAAGATTAGTCTTTCATTATTTTAAGATAGTGCTGCTTTGTTCAGCAAAGTGGACAGATTGGTCTGGAGATAAAAGTTTAATTAAATGATCCATGTTTTGTACATGAGCAAATGAAGCAACGCAGAACAGAAGCACATCACAGCACTAGCCATAGCAACTTTACAGAAGTGACAGCAGAAGTACAGGGAGTGGTTATTCATGTTCAACTGTTTGCTTTCCCATCAAGTAATTTTTATTTTTTTTATTCCCCCTCCTTTTTTCAAAGACCACTTTGCAGCCACTGAAGAACTTCATGGATTTATTCAGAAATGTGGGGGCCGCAGTGCCAATCAAGGCCTCAGGTAGCCAAGGAGAGCAAGGGAAGAGAGTAATTCTAAAATTGGTGGTCTTGCTATGTTTGGGTGGAAGCTTGGGTTGCTAGCTAGAACAGGATTATTGGGAACTGGGCTTTCATTTCAGACTCTGGCATTGTGTATTTGGCAAGAAAAAACAAACTCGTACATCTTCCAGTGCCTTGGTTTGCCTTTATTTCAGGAGTACTGCTCTACCTCCTGTGATATGTAAATTAATGAACACAAAACCTGGATGCTTCTTGAGAGAAAAGAGCTACATCTGTGCAAATGGTATAAAAAGCTACTTTACTTCCACATGATAAACGTATACTATTTGGTGGGCTGTCAGTACTATTAAACACCCTCTCACTAAACAACAGACCCACAGCTTGCTCAGATGCCATTTTTTCTTGGCAACCTGGTATCTGTCAGATTCTCCAATATTAGGCGGCATTTCCTTGAACGTTGCATTGCAGATGGATTTCGTAACTATGCTAAATTAATTGCCTCCTTGGAGTAAAAGGAGATTATCTGCTCATTTGATTTCTTGAAGTTGTTTCTGATACTTTTGATCAGTATCAATGCATCGGCAAACATTGAAACAAAAAATCATATTCCAAGGCCTTTTGACCTTTCAGTGCGCATATCCCAGCTGAATAAAAGGAGTTATGCAACCTCTTGCTCTTTCTTGCAACATCCTTGCAGCGGCTATAGTAACTGCTTATGTCAAAAAGTAATATTAGAAAGTATTTAATGTATTTTTAGATTCTGTCTAATGCAACTTAGCTGACAAAGAAGAGCCAGTGCCATGTGATCAGCTCTCTACAGACATTGGGAAATGTGGCACAAACTACATTTTGAGAACATCAGATCTGATTTTGAGGCCATGTGTGAA